TGGAGCAATGTCCTGTGGTCAGAAGTGCAGTAAGAAGGCGCCTGGGTGGCTCAGTTGGTTGAGCGTCTGCCTTCAGCTTAGATCATGATCTCAGGGTCCTGGGATCAAGCCCCATGTTGGGCTCCCTGCCCCGTGAGGAGTCTGCTTCTCCCTCTCCCTCTGCCTCTCCACCCCCCGCTCGTGCTCGCTCTCTCTCAAATAAATAAAATCTTTTTAAAAAATGAAAGATTCAACTCCTCAGCTGCGACAGCTATATTCAAATGCTCAGTAGCCACGTGTAGCTAGCGCTGGACGGCATAAATCGAGAACATTCCCATCATCACAGGAAAGTATCAGACAGTGCCAGACCACAGAGTCCACTGAACAATTATTAACATGAACAAGGGCTTGGACAGAAATCGCTCAAATCAGATAGAAATAAATATGCAAAAAACATACAGCTTCCCAGCAAGAACCAGCTGGAAAAATATAACAAAGATTATTCACAACAGAGAAAAAAAAATAAGTGAGCAAAATCAGCAATAAATGTGCAAAAGCCGCATGTAGAAAACCACGAAACTGTCCTGGGAACACAAAAACTGCCCGGAACAAATGGAGATCTTGCTCCCAGATACACTCTGTACCCTAAACTTCGCTCTCCCCAGCCTGGTATCGCTGGGGGACCCGTCCCCCCAGTAAATTCCTTCAGCACTTCACAAACTGATTCTAGAGATCCTACGGAACCATGAGTCTGCCCAGGGGCCCGCAAACTGGCCAACCCCTTGTTTCTGCAAATAGTTTTATTGGGACATGGCCGTGTTCATTCACTGATGTGTTGTCCACACCTGTCCTGCGGGGCAGAGTTAAGAACGGGGAACGGAGGCTGTTTTCCTAAGTTGGCTGATGCCGGGCTGGAATGTCGGCCGTGGAGGGACAGGGATGCTTCCCGCCAGCACCATGTGTCTGTGACTGAGGGAGGCCGGAGGGACGGGTGAGCCATAAATTCCAAAAGGGTAAACGTGCGACCAGCTGAAGAAATCTTGACAAAGAATAAAATTGGGAACAAGGGCCTCAGCAGTTCTCAAAACAGACCGGAAAGCCAGAGTCATCAAAAAATGTTCTTGTAGCAGAGCACAGATCGATGCCAGGAGAGACCCCAGAAGGACCGTTCCGCTTGCTGGCCTTCTCTGCTACATTCTCCAAGGCGGATGAGCTCGGGCGTCTGAGATACTGACTGCGGCAGCGCCCGGCTCGCTCGCAAGGGCCGCCCTACCCTGAGCCCCGCAGCATCTCCGCAGAGCCCGCCGGCAAGGGAGAGCAGACATCTGATTCGGGCAGGTCGAGGCCCTGCAGTTGCTGAGCACCTACTGCATGCCAGGCCTTCCCCTGGGGCTCCGAAGGCAGCAGGGAAGGAGAGGAGCAAGCCCACGACCACCACCATGGGGGTGCCTGTCATTGGGAGCTTAGAGGGAAAAGCGTATGGGGTGAAGGCCAGGCAGAGCCTCGGGACCAGGGGCCAGGGCCCGCTCCTCAGCCTGCACGGATGCCGGCCCTCCTGCCCCACAGCCCAGGTCAGCCTGCGCCCGGAGCCCGTGCCCGCCGGGGGGGAGGGGCGAGGGGGGTGCTCGCATGAGCCCCCACTTTTTGGAGGCGGCCTCAACCGCAGTGGTTCCCATGTTCTGGCACTAACCCCTCTCTCTGCCCTAGGTCACCACCTGGGGCCCCACATGGCATCTGGTCACCTCCTTCAGTGCCCTTAGCGTGTGGCAACATCTCCACCTTTGTTTCTCGTGACCTTGACAGCCTCCAGGACGCCCTGCCAGGTGTCCCACAGCATGTCCCCGATCTGGGCTTGTCAGCTGCTTTCCTGTGATGAGTTTGGAGATCTCGGTTTCCCACGACTGCTCTAACAAGGCACCACACACAGGGCGACTCCCGACAACAGGATTTCATCCTTTCCCAGTCCTGGAGGCCAGAAGCCCCAGATGGAGGTGCGGCAGGGCCCTCGGGAGGCTCCAGGGGAGGGTCCGACCTGCCTCTTCCAGCTCCGCAGGGCCCCAGGGGTCCCCTGGCCTCTGGCCACAGCACTCCAGTGCCTGACTCCATGGTCATCAAGGGGCTTCTCCTCTGTCTCTCCTCCGTGTCTCTTAGGAGGACACTTGTCATTGGGTTTAGAGCCCACCAGATAAGCCAGGATGATCTCATCTCGAGACCCTGAACTTAATCACATCTGCGAAGACCCTTTTTCCAAATAAGGTCCCACTCACAGGTACAAGGGGCTGGGATGAAGACACACCTTTTTAGGGGCCACCATTCAACCCACGACACTGGGGTTATGGGTTTGGGGAAGAACTACAGAGCCGAGGTGCCCTTCTGGTCCTGTCCCATCAGGGGTCCCTGACGGGCCGCTCAACATCACTCTGAAGTTGAACTTGACCCCTGGCCCAGGTGGGGTGTGCCAGGTTTCCCCACGGTCAGGTTACCATCACTTCCTGGGGCCTGGGGCCTGGGCCCAGGCAGGGAGCACCTGTACACACCACCGGGGCTCTGGGGTACGGAGCCTCACGTCCTCCACGCTCCGCACTCGGATTCAGCCTCTTACCCTCCCACCACAGCCTCTAGACTTGCCTGCCTCACGCCCTGGATGATGTCCCCACCTTTATTTAAGCTCACCCTGGACCACTGTGATAAGCACTTGGTTGGGTCACCAAGTCAATCCTCCCAGAAGTCCTGGGGTGGAGGCATCCGAGTGGTCAGTCCCAGTTCACAGGTGGGGAAACTAAGGCACAGAAAGCCCAGGGCCACTCGCTGGGCAGTGATCTACCTGATCACTGCAGGTAAAATTTCACCAATCTGTACAAAATCACAACCCAAAGGGAGAAAAGAAAGAAAAAGAACTAGAACCTTCTATCAGTAAAGGCCAAAGAGTGGGGCATCAATACCAGGGTAAATGGGACAAGAAAAGTGCTTTCAGCCTGACCCGGACCCTCTCTGGACATCAAACACACACACTCAGGGAGTCTTTGGGGCCCCGACCAATGCCTGCAGGAACCAGCAAGGTGTGCCAGGGGCCCAGGCTCCCTGGGGACTTGGGACTCGTGTGGCCACTAGTGTGAGAAGCCATGGGTCCAGTGGGTGGGCCCGTCTGAAGGTGAATATGAATGTCAACATGTCCAGAAGAACCTCATCCCAGACCACACTTTCAGGGCGGCTCCTCACAGCCAGTCCTAAGCACTAACCGCCCCCATCCACACCCCTCCCCCCAGGCTGCCCCATTACCTCCCACCACTCTGTCCTTCCCTCCGATGCTGGAGCCAGGGTCCGGGAGGGCCCCCCGCCGCAGCCCCCAGTCTCCCTCCCCTACCAAGCTGCCACCTCACCGCACCAGGGAGAGGAGCCCTGTTTCTATGGTCCTCACCAAGCGCCTGCAGGCTCCATCCACAGCCAGGCCCCCCTTCAAAGCCGACGCTGTCCCTCTGGCCCACAGTGCCCCCTTGCCCCTGCTGCGTGCCAGCCCCTCTGGCCTCCAGGTCTCCCCTCCCCCTCGCCCTGCTCAGCACTTGCTCAGGGTACGGATCCCTGTCATCCCCTCCCGGGGCCCTGTATCTCCCTGCTGCTCTCAGAAAAGCTCACTAAGTATCACGCCGGGCTGACCTTCCTACCAGAGCCCTCGCTCCCAGCCATTCTCCGGAGCCCAGCAGCGCCACACCCTTCCCCCCACTTCTCTGGGGGGCCCCATGCCCACCTTCCTCATCCCTTCTTCACCACTAACAGCCACACACAGTCGAGTACATGTCCTAAGGTTAGTTGGTGCCTGGGGGACCCCCTCGCTCCCCTGAAGCAGAAAGCCTGAGGTCCCCCTTCCCCCTCCCTGTGGGGTTTCCAGCGGCATCCACCTGGCCCCATCCCCAAAGGGCTTAGGTCAGGGGGGCAGGAGCCCACGCAGCCTCACCTTGCTCACTCCATGTGTTCCCTGAAGCTTGGTGGGGGCGGGGGAGGGGGGAGCTGTAAAGGCCAGACTGGGCTGAGCAGTATTTAGGAGCACAGGTGGACATGAGGGAGGCCGAGGTGGGGGGCTGCTTCTGGGATCAGTCCCCCTACTCCAGGCTTGGGTGGGGGTGAGGCCCATGTGGCTGCACACACACAGGGGAGGGAGGAGCCACGGCAGGTCCTGGGGACCCAACCACAAGCCTGGAACCTTCTGTAGGCAGGAATCTAGATCCAGTCGTACGTAAATAACCAAGAAAAAGCCAGAAAGAAACATCTCAAAGGCACAGGTTAAATAGAGGCCACATGTCAGAAAGGCAGGGAGGACCACTCACAGCAGGCTGCGGAACATTCCAGGCCAGTGGCAAGAAACCCCCAGCCCCCCTCCCCCAATGGAGCCCTCCCAGTGAGACCCCCTCCCGCCAGCTCCCTGGAGTGCAACAGGGAGCAGAGTCAGAGAGATGGGGAATGGACGGGGAGTCTGACATCAGTCCCACCCTGCCCTGGGGTCTGAGGGCTGCATCCTGGAGACTGGCGGGGGGGGGGGGGGGCCGGACCTGGGCCAACAATGCCCCCTTTTTCAGAGAGAAGGCCTGGAGGCCAGGGCGGACATGGGGCTAGGGTGTCACAGAACTGGGATCACTGAGGGGGTTATGTGGTTTAGGAGTCTGGGCTTCTGGGTTCAAGAGGCAGGGGTCTGGTGGGGGCCTGGAGGTCACCACCGGGGAAGGACGGGGCACTTGGTGCAGGAGGTCACTGGGGCAGGATGGTGGGGGTGGCTGTGCCCGGAGATCCTGGACAGGGCGACAGGAGTCTGCTGGGGGATGGAGAGGTGGGGGTCCCAAGGCCAGGGTATGGCGAGTGTCAGAGGGCTGAGGGGTGGACGGGGGGGCCCAGCAGGGTCATAGGACTGGGGCAAAGTGGGTCCCAGGGGTCCTGACGGGTGGCGGGTTCCTGGAGTGGCTGGGTGCTGGGGATGGCAGGGCCCGGGGACGGCGGGGGCCCGGGGTGCGGGGCGCGGGGCGGCGGCCCACCTGTGCGCCGGGATGCGCTGCGCGCCGAGCCCCTTGCCCACCAGGAAGTGCACGTCGCAGAGCACCTCGTTGTTGAAGAGGAAGGCGAAGCGCTCCTTCAGCGTGGGCTTGGTGGCCTGCCAGTTGTAGACGGGCTCGCGCAGGAGCGCCGCCGCCCCCGGCTCCTCGGCCGCCCGCTCCCCGCCCGCCGCGGCCTGCGCGCCCGGCCCCGGCCCCGACCCCGGCCCC